TCCTCACAGCCTCATGAGGCTGGCATTATGACAATCCCCACTTTCAGAGGAGAAATCGAGGCTTAGAGAGAGAAAGTCAGCTGCTCCAGTTCACACCGTTGGTAAGTAGTGTGGGCAAGGATTTGAACCCAGGTTTACCTGGCTCTAAGCCACACCCTTACCCATAGGCACCATCACCAGCCTAGCCCCAAAGTTGACTTGCAAAGCGAGCCAGGGCCACAGGAAAACCCATGAGAGTGAGTGGATGGTTCCATGGTAGAGGTGTGGGGCCACAGGTGTAGTTACAGCCTCATTTCTTAAGTGTTGACTAATGGGGTGCTTTTGCCTCTTTGGAGAAGGCACCCAATTTCCAGGGCTGTGCCAGGAATTGCTGAGCTGCTCCTGTCTCCTCTGGCTGCCTCTCACCAGCCCTGGTCCTGGGCCATACCCTCTGGCTCCCAACTTCCTCCTCTGGGGCCATCTGATTCCCTTATGCTCATTTCCCAGGTGAGAACATCAAGGTAGGGGCTGGGCTTGAGCTGATAGCTGAGAGCTGCTGCTGGTTGGGTTTTCAGAGAACTGAGACCTTAGCTGGGCACAGGGGAGGGAGATGGTGAAGAAAGGAGGGGGACAGCCTGGGCAGTGGGGCTTGCTCGGAGTGCTCAGTTTCTGGGTCACTGGTCCTGGGGAATTCCCCAATGCCCAGAGAGCTGCTTACCTGGTGACTAACCGCTGCTGGCTGCCCACACAGGATGCCTGACTGTCAGGGTACCTCCCTGCCACCTTCTGCCAATGGCCACTGCCATGCTGCCCTCGATCCTGAGTGCCCTGGGGTTCGGGAAAGAGACAGACAGACAGGCAGGGGGGCTGGTCTCCGCCCCCGCACCCCCTGGAGCTCCACAGGGGGCGGCTGGTGATTCAAGCCCCTCTGAGCTGAGCTGTGTCTCCTTCCTTCTCAGATGGGGCCTGGGGGGTGAATCAGTTCCTGGGGGCGGTGAGGTCGGGTCAGCCACTATCCTCAGCTCAGGCCTGGGGGGGAGTGGTGATGGTCAGGGACCAGGATGGGATATGGCAGGAGAGTGAGCACACTGCCATGCCAGCCCCCCCCACAACCCATCTAATTTTTCTGAGGCACCCCTGAAGCTGGAGGCTGAAGAGAGTGGACAGGTCTCTCTGCTGCCCAGCTTTCCCCTCTCAGCCCTGGGGTGCACCCAATCTTCCTCATCTGTTAAATGGGGACAAGATCCCTTATTTCACAGAGGTGTTGAGTACCCATGCTGATGTGCAGAGGGCTTGCTGGGTGCCCAGAACTGCACTGAGCCCTGAACCCTCACGGCAAACCCATGGTGTAGGTACCATAATTCCCATTTTACAGATGAAGAAACTGAGACCAGGAGGTGATCATTTCCCCCAAATTACCCAACTCATAACTGGCAGAGCCAAACCTCCAACTCAGCTCTGACTGAGGCCGAAGTCCACGCTTCAAACCACCAGACTCCACACCTTCTCTCCAGGACAGATTCGGCACAGATAGCTTTCTGAAACTGTAAAGTGTTTTTAAAAAGTACTTCGCATGCCCTGGCCAGGCAGCTCAGTTGGTTAGAGCGTCGTCCTGATACACCAAGGTTGCAGGTTCAGTCGCTGTTCAGGGCACATACGAGAATCAGTCAATCAATGGATGCATAAATAGGTGGAACAACAAATTGATGTCTCTCTCTCTGTCTTCTCTCTCCCTTCCTCTCTCTCTCTCAAATCAATTAAAGAAATACTTAGCATCTACTCTAGTGTAATCCTGAGCCAGGTGCTGTCAAGTGAACAAATAAGTATGAGACCCCATCCAGGTCCTCAAAGAGGGGGGAATAAGACCTGTCCCCACTTGAAAGGACAGTGGGCAGCACTGCCCGTTTGGGCCATGGGAGGCAGCCTGGGAAAAGGGGCCTTAATGCCTCTGGTTCTCCTCGTGGCATGAGGTGCTCCCAGCACCACTGTGGTCTGCGAGTCAGGGGCCTGGGTTCCAGACCCTGCTCTACTGTTAACTCTCTCTGCTGCCCTGGGCAAGTGCTTCACTTCTCTGAGCCTCAGTTTCCCCATCTGAAAAATAAAACATCTGTGACATTCTAGGAGAGGCTTGTGGGTGAGAATCAGCAGAAAAGGAGGGACTGGGTGTTGGCTTGCACCAAAGTGTGTAGGAGAAAGAGCTTTGAGGGGCTCTAGAAAGGCCCCCAGCTGGCACATGGGCTCACTTTCTGGAAAGGAGAGATGAGTAAGTGGATGGCACGGCCACCTGGAGACGGCCACCCAGGGCCCTGGCTCAGCAGCCCCCCGCCCAGGCTGAAGGGGCCCCATGTGGGCCTCGACTGTCCCCCTCACCCTGAGGCCAGTCAAATCCCCAGCAGGCCCAATGTGCAGGAGCAGGACAGGCTGGGGATGAGGTCACAGCTGGAAGGGGCCGGGCTGGGGCTGCCACTCCAGGGTGGGGCCTGGGGTCACAACCCTGGGAGCAGGCAGCCAAGAAGGGAGGATGCCTTCCGTGAGGAAGCTGGAGAAAACACATACACACACAGCAGTGTAGGGAGGGAGGGAAGAAAACAAACTCCAGGAGACCAAAGCTGGCCTGGAGTGCGGCCTGGGCTGTCGTTTCCTGGGGACCGACGCCACGTTGCAGGCGGCTCACCTCCTGGCGTCTCTGAGACCCTGCCCAGCCTTGCCCCCAGAGGCCCAGTGCAGGTGGTGCCTGGACATGGACACGAGAGGGAGGCTGGGCCTGGGGTGCCGAGAGGCCCACAGCACTTGGGGAGCACGGACCAAGTCAGGTACTAAGAAAGGGGAAACTGAGGCATGGGAGGGGGCCAGTCAGGACAGGGGTTTAGAGTCTCCTAGACTCTGCCCCCACTTCCTGTTTCCTATGGGGTGGGGCTGAGGTTCTACAGCGATTGGGGGTGATTATAGGGCTGATGTGGGTTGGGAGGGCAGAGGGCAGTGCAAGGCCCTAGAAATCCATGAGGAAGGATGCAGGAGAGACTGGGCCAGGAGAGCAGTGGGACAGGTGGCAGGTCACCCCAGGAGAATCAGGACATCTAGTGAGAGACTCAGGCAGGGAAACAAAGCGTCCCTAGATGGGGCACAGTGGGCCTCTGGTCAAATGGATTTGGGGATCCATGTCAAAAAAGCTAGGCTGAGTCAGGTGACAGGGGTCCAAGAGATGTGGGAATGGGGCTGGAGGCCGATCCAGAGTTCACGTGTTCCAAGTGTTCAGGCCCTTGTGCAAGAAAGGCTGTGTGTGTGTGTGTGTTTGTGTGTGTGTGTGTGTGTGTGTGTGTGTGTGTGTGTAGGAGGAGGCGAGCTGGGATGTCCTGGGCCATGGGGTTGCCTGAGCCAGGCTGGGGTGGGTGGGCATCATGGGGGTTTATGCTCACCACAGAGCAGGTGTATGGGAGGGGCAAGTGGCAGGTGGGACCTTCTATGTCCCTCCCAAGGAAGACACAAGATGTGGGGGGCAGGGAAAGGAAGGAGAGCTGGCCTGGGCTCTACCAGCCTCCTTTCTGCTGGGAAGTGTCAGGTGGGATTGGCAGTTTTATTGCCCCACATCCCAGGTCCCCAGTACATGGGGTGAGTCTGGATGGGGCAGGGTGTGTGGGGTGGGGGAAGAGGGCCCGTCCTGGCATGATGAGGGAGGAACACCTGGCTGGGCAGGTCCAGGATGTGGCAAGAAGCAGGAGTGGGGGGCGTGCATGGAGGATGGGGGAGGGGTTGGAAGGGGGCATTAGGGGCCAGGGAAAGGCTTCGGGACTCTTTGGCCTTGTTTTCTGGTGAGGGTCAGGTGGGAGGGCTGTGGTGGGATCCCCAGGAGAATGAGACATCTCGTGGGATACATGGTGCCCCTGGGACAGTGTGGCCCCAGATACTGTTATCTGGCCAGCACTCCCCCATCTCATTTTTAAAAAATGCTTTATAGAGGAGGAGTCCCTGTGCACATTTGCCCTGGTTCTACCAATAGAATTTGTGACCTGCCTTAGAGACTCTAGAAGCACCTTTTGGGGGCCACATTATTTTCTGAGGCTCCTAAGGGGCTTCCAAGGCAGGTCTTGGAGGAGCAAACTATTTCTGTTCTCAGCCATCCTTCTGCATCCTGAGGAGGAAACCTAGGTCCGATCTGCTAAGCACCTCTAGGTTTCTGCTTCAGGTGTCCTTCAGAGTGGAAATGTTGGACTACTTTCCCTTGGAAGGGGAGGTGGGGTTGCAAAGAGATTAGGTAAACTCCAGACCTGCAACACCTTGCCAGAAGCTCCTCTCCAGGCTGTCCCCAAATAACCCAGTCATAGCAATCTCCCACCCCCCCATCTTCTGAGCCCCCTCCCCAGCCTCATAGGTACCTGTGGTCAGCAATGCAGGCTTGCTTATGGCGGTCAGGAGGCCAGATCCTATGGGACCCTGGGCAGCTGTTCCCTTTGGAGCTCCACTTTGCCCAGTGGCAATGGGCAGGTTGAAAGAGGCTACCTATGAGGTGGCTTCCAGCACCCACATTCAGTTCCGCTTTATTACTGTCTAAAGTCCAGGTCGGGTCCCAGCCCCTCTTCCTGGAGCCTCCTTCTCAGCCAAGCCCCAGCCTGCCTTCTGACCACTGTCCCCCCCAAACCCCCAATCAGGGGGCCCCAGGTGCCAGCCTCCATCTGCTTGCTTAGTCTCAAGCCAACTCCCCAAACCCAGGTGAGTCAGGGCTGTCTGGGGCACCCACTAGCCGGGGACCCTGATGACTCGCCTGGGGACCCTCCTCCCCCTCCTCATCTTCAGGGCAAGCCACTCAGGAAAACCACAGGGTGTTTTGTCGAAGAGTTCATTATAATTTTATCAATCAAATTCTTAGAAGAGGGAAAAAGTCTGCTCTCCCCACCCTCCCCCCTNTCACTCCCCCCCCTTCACTCTCACTTTCTTCCATTCATAATTTCCTATGATGCACCTCAAACAACTTCCTGGACAGGGATCCCTGCTAAATATAGCCGTTTCTTTCTGTCTTACAACACAGGCTCCAGTATATAAATCAGGCAAATTCCCCATTTGAGCATGAACCTCTGAAAACTGCCGGCATCTAAGGTCTCCTCCAAGGGCCTCTGGAGTCCAGCCCATAATGAAGGTCTTGGCAGCAGGTAAATCCA